TCCAGAACTCTCTCTCATTCAAGTACTTTTTCCCTTGTCTTGGTTATGTCTGATTTATTTGCAGATAACAGAAGCCTGTCCAAAGTAAGGGAGGATAATCTCTCCTACTCCGGGTCAAAGGAATACAATCAGACCTAAAGTCTGTACATGGCATCTCCCTCTTTTCCACATTCATGTTCATGTCCTCTGACTGCTCCTTTTCTGTCCCCGGCTTTCTTCAGAAGTCTGTTTCTGCAACACTGGACATGGTGGTTATGAGTCAAGGTGGGTAGCTAGTAAGATGAAAGAACCCTTAACTCATTACTTGAGAGACTAAAGCAAGAGATAAAGATCAGTGTCTGAGGCTCGATGCCTGATAATTGACTCTTCTTTTGAAAAATTAAACCCCAGAATAATCATCGTCCTGGGTCTTACTCGATCTAGAGCTGTGAGAGCTATTGAGCTCTTGGTCTGGACTAAACACGTTTTCCTTTGCCAAAGGACAGTCTGCCACCTGCTGAAGCTGACAACCCAGTGACTGCTGACTGCACTCCTTTTGCATTAGGTTGTTCTTAAATGAGATTTTTTAAAATATTTATTTATTTATTTGAAAAAGTTACACAGAGAGAGAAGGAGAGGCAGAGAGAGAGTGAGAAATAGATCTTCCATTGGATGGTTCACTCCTCAATTGGTCGCAACAGCTAGAGCTGCGCCGACCCAAAGCCAGGAGCCAGGAGCTTTTTCTGGGTCTCCCACGCCAGTGTAGGGACCCAAGGACTTGGGCCATCTTCTACTGCTTTCCCAGGCCATAATAGGGAGCTGGATCAGAAGTGGAACAGCTGGGTCTCGAACCGGTGTCCATATGGGATGCTGGCGCTTCAGGCCAGGGTGTTAACCCACCCACCACAGCACCGGCCCCTTAAATGTGTTTTTAAAAATCATAATTCTATCAGAAGAGTAGATGTCTTGATCATTTTAGCCAATCCCAAAATGTCCAAAATGTTCCCAAAGTTCAATTTAACTCTAAGCAGTGGACAGGAACATTTTGATTTGATTTAATACAGGTAATGTCCTCCATTGCCAACTTAATTGGAAATGGAACAGTAGATAATTTCTGAAATTAAGAGTTTCTGTATTAAAAGCTCTGTGATGGTCAGTGAGGGTTGGCACCAGGAACGAGATTTGATGATATTGAAGAAGTATTCACCTCAGATCCAAATATTGCAGGCATAAAATGGAAAATGAAGCTAAATCACACATGATAGGTCTTCAGAATGTTCACATAATATTAATTTTATGAAAAAACCATGCATGGATTCAAAATGTTTTGCACCAAAATAAATGTATCTTTCATTCCATTTTTATTCATTTTTGAAGTATACTAGTGTAGAGATACCCCTTCAAGGTTTTGGGGCAGTAATCAATTCTGAACAAATATAATGTATAATTCCCCATCAGCTATAGGGTAATATTTCTATATTGATTATACAAGGGTTTACATCATATCACCAAATAGACATGGAAGAGACAAAAATCTACACATCTAGTATATTATTTTTGGCTGATAGATCTTATATCCTAGGTTTCATAAACTTTATAGAAGGTACTTTAGAGAATATTTTGACTAACCCACTAAAGCAGAATCAGAAAATTAAAGATAAAGGAAAAAGAAAACAAATTATGACTTACCACATCTCTTTCTTGTGCTATAGCAAATATCACTCACAGAATCACTTTTGCAGTGACCCTGCATTTGGCCTCACACTCCCTCTTTACATAACCATTCATTGTCAGTTAACTGGGATTAGCATGAAGATGAAAACTTCTGGTAATTCCACTGGTAGATTGAACTTCCTGAGAACAAGAACCATATCTTCCTAATGTCTACTTCTTCATACCAACATAAAGGTATCACCCAATATATAATTGTAAATGGACAAGTAGCTCAGGAATTTTAAAAATAGATATTAATAAGCAAATAATTCTCAGAAGAAAATGCACAAGTGCCCCCAAATTGTGGCCACAAATAGAGTTATCTTCACATAATTAATGAATCTGTTTTGGCAAATATTTTTTGGCTAGATTGGCAAGTTTTTTAAATGAAATAATATTAAATGTTGTTTAGATTGAAGGAAAGCAAGTTAGCAGCCCACCCTTCCATCCCTATGGGATTTATTCCAAGACCCACATTGTATGCCTGAAACTACAGATCATTCTGAAGGCTTTCTGTACTCTTGTTTTTTCCTGTATATACATACCTATAATAGTTTAACATAAATTTGGCACAGTAAGAAATTAATAATAACTAATTATAAAACAGGGTAATTATGCTATACAGTAATAGTTATGTGAATATAGTCTTTATTTCTCTCACAATATCATATCGTACTATCTTGAATTTCTTGTTATGATGTGACATGTTGCAATGCCTATGTTATGACACGGGGGAGTGAATGACATAAGCACTGTAATATAGCATCAGGCTATAACCTTACATAAAGGTTACTTGAACATAAGTACTGCAGTGGATATGATATCAAAGATGACTACTCAGAGATCAAACAGCCTGCATGGACAAAGAGATGATTCACTTCTGGGGCAGGATAGAACATGAAATTTCATCATGCTACTTAGAACGGCCTGCAATTTAAAAAAATTATGGCTTGTTTATTTCTGTGGTTTCTTATTTAATATTTTTGTACCAAAGTTGTCTGAAGGGAACTGAAACATTCAAAAGTAAAATTGCAGATAAGGGAGAATATACATTTATTCAGAGATTTAGCTCCAAGAATGTTTGTTGTATTTTAATATTAAAAATGAAAAATAATTTATATAACCAACATATGTTGGTTAAATTACATCTGATGGTGTCTCTTTGTAGCCTTATTTATAGTGTACATAATTAGAATATACATGTATTAGGATTATATAAAAATATATTTTAGCAATATGGATAGGTGTTATGCACTATTGAGTGAAAAGAGATTGCAAAATAATATTAAACGTGGTCTTATTTTGTAAGTGCATGTATGTATGTGCATAAGCCATAGTAAAAAGTTCTAGATACTCCAGTATGTTAATGTTAACAACCTCTTGAAAAATTGGAGACTGCAACTGTGTTGTTTTGGTTTTCACTTACATCATTTGCTTTTTAATGATGATAAATTACTTTAGTAATAAAAATAATTTTAATATTTTTAAAATACCAGGAGAATTTTGTATATTTTCCCTTGATGCATTCTTATAGCAAGCAGAACACTGAAAATCATTACATTGATCATTCTTGTTAAGAATAGCTATTTCAACATTTAAACATAAGTCCTCCCTTAGGACTAAAGTGGTAGGGGTTTGAAGAGTAAGTCAGCCTCTCTTATTCAAATACTTTTTATTTCTTTTTCTCTCATCATCCCTCCTTTCCCCTTTAATTCTTCCCTCCTCTTTATCAAAACAGTGAGGGGAATAGTAACATCGAAGTCTAATTTGAGCAGTTTGTTCTAGAAGACAGTATGAGTCACTTATATTGTACTTGACTTTCTCAATATTAGTTTTTCATTATAAAAATAATACTTTTGTTCTTTACACCAAATATTGAAGACTCAAAAAAACACCATTAATCTAGCACACTGACCTCCCACATTCGTTTTTTATCACATTGTTTTCTTTATGTTGTTAAAATCATGCTATATATATATATATACATATATGTATATATGTGTGTGTTTATATATATATATATATGTATATGTGTGTGTCTTATTTTTCCTAATAGAAGTTTATCCTAAATAGTTTCTAAAGGCATTTCTTTTAAAGTAGCTTCTATACCTAGTCTACATTTTTTCCCATTCGCTGTTTCATTTAGCAATACTCTGAAATGTCTACTAAGTGCTTGTTAAGTATAAATGCACAGTGATAGATAAACATGACTTCTTCCCTCACAGAGTAATGCAGACAAGGAGTCAAGCCTCTGCCTTGCTCAGTCCTCTGAAAAACTCAATAAACATAAGCTGTAAGTGGGAAGTGAAATATAGGTATTAACTAACTAGCATCACAGGCTTGTGTTAACTGCCTGTATTCAATATGATCCTTAGTCCTATTCTATATCATTCCCTTTATATGACCTCATTACTTTTCCTCTCTCATGGGAAGCAAATAGAATCAGCAAATCATGATTATTGTTTCTCATATCGGTAAGTCACACAAAAATAAGTAAGTGTTTTACCAAAAAAAAAAAAAAAAAGAAAGAAAGAAAGAAATCAATTTAACAAGTTAAAGCAAAGGAAACTTGGAATGGTGTCAAGTTCATCTATCCTATTGCATTTATATATTGTATGCTTACTGAAGATCAGAGAGGGATCTTTACATGAAATATGCCTCAAAGGAGGTGATGAAGGGCTATTTTCAAAATGTTTAATGACAGGGACAGAGTGGGAACAGATAGTTCAGACATAGACACCTGGACAGGTTATGTGTAAATCTCCAACTTGCATATCTGGGAAATCTGGCCTGTGCATTCGGGGCAGGGATCAGGATGACATGGACAGTAGGGTCCTCGGGAGGTCCAGGACAGTGGCTATTTCCTTAACAGTCTGAAAGTATCTCAACATTTTAACAACTGGTGTGACAGCCTCAACCCTGAAGGAAATATATCACAACACTGATATATTTGATTTGCTCTTGGGAAGGACATAAGAGTGGTCAGAGCAGTTCTCAGTTCAAAGTAGTGTCTTGTGGTAGCAGATACTCTATCATTCTCACAAAAATAGGAAGTCGGAATCCATTTAACTAAAAAAGAGTGAGCAATCCCATGAGTGGACCACAGAAATCAAATACAGACATTATAGGAATTCTGAGAGCTTAATAGAAAGACTCTCTGACCACATATAATATTGGAAAATTTGAAATATCTGTTTATTTTAAAAGGAAAAAAAAAAGAGTCATTCTATCTTAGTCATATCCATGAAATGGTAGTATATGTATTTTTAATGTGTATGATAATAGCTTAATGGTTTCTTCTCCTTTAGATTTCCCTATTGGAAAAGGCTGGATTTGGAGGTGTTCTTCTATATATTGATCCTTGTGATTTACCAAAGACTGGAGATCTTAGCTATGATACCTTCATGGTATCACTGAATCCAGGAGGAGACCCGTCTACACCTGGTTATCCAAGTGTTGGTAAGTTTGTTGTTCATCCTGGTTATTCTTGTAAGTATTGCAAGGTTGAAATTTGTAATAAATGCTACATAAATTAATAGATGGTAAAAATTCTTATCTCCTCATATTTTTTAAAAAAGATTTATACTTATTTATTTGAAAGTTAGAGTTACACAGAGAGAGGAGTGGCAGAAAGAGAGAGAGAGAGAGAGATCTTCCATCCGCTGATTCACCCCCCAGTTGGCTGCAACAGCCAGAGCTATGCCCATCTGAAGCCAGGAGCCAGGAGCTTCTTCCAGGTCTCCCACACGGGTACATGGGTCCAAGGACTTGGGCCATCTTCCACTGCTTTCCCAGGCTATAGCAGAGAGCTGGATGGGAAGTGGAACAGCAGAGACTTGAACCAGCGCCCATATGGGTTGCTAGCATGGCAGGCCACAGCGCCAGCCCCAGCCTCCTCATATTTTTAAAACACACAAAATTAACATCGTACCATTTTTTTTTTAAATAAAACTCCAAGTAGGTCAAAAGTCTGTGCAAATACTGAGCGATATAAAATGTCTGCTGACTTAGGGCAGCTGTGATAACTTTAGTTCTAGACCTTGAGGGTTAATATCATCAAATCAGGTGAGAAAAGGTGCCAGAGATAAATGGGGTAAATATGATCAAATTTTCTGGCTCCCTAAGAGAAAGGACCTCATTGGTGCAGCCAGTCACTGGCAGCCCAGTGATGACCATATTTCTTCTAGACATTTCTGTATCCCACAGGGTGATTGAAATTGTGTCCAAAAGTTCTGTTCATATGACTCGGCTGAGGAAAATGCTCTTTGAACCATCTCGTGGTGTGATACTAATCCATTAACAACATGAGGGTCAGTAATTAAACTACCAACAACAGAACTTGCAATTATCTGTGTATTTTGCAAATAATTTCCCTTTTCCCCCTAAATATAAAAAAGGCTTTACTAGTAGTCTTACTCAAATTCTCTATCATTTATCTGTGCATGTTAACTTTACTAACTAAAGTAATTAATTAATATTCTATATGAAGTAGTCCAATATGAATTATAATTGGTGAATGTTGTTGGATTTACTGATTTCTGTTTTATGTGTATATGCTGCATAAGAACACATTAAATAATTCACATAAGAGTTGTTTCTGAGACTACATGGATCTGTTTTGTTTTATACAGTCCCTTGTCTCATTATTCCAGCTTTGAAATTAGAATTAATAAGTGTCCATCTGCAATTTCTAAGCATCAGCAAAAAATCAGTCCCTCATTTGCACATGCTCTCGTTACCTCGGGTTGTAATTCCTCAGCTTCAGTGTCAGCTTACACTTTGTGGCAAGTCAATGGGCTGCAGTGCTGCCAAAAGCAGATATTTTATGAGTACTCTGCTTAAGTTGCTAAGTTGTCTGGTTGATAACATTTACCCTTAACCTTTTCTTCACCCCGTTTATTTCACAAATATAGAATTTGTTAATATCAAGGCCAGCGTCATGGCTCACTAGGCTAATCCTCCTGCGGCGCCGGCACACCAGGTTCTAGTCCCAGTCGGGGCACCGGAATCTGTCCCGGTTGCCCCTCTTCCAGGCCAGCTCTCCGCTGTGGCCAGGGAGTGTAGTGGAGGATGGCCCAAGTGCTTGGGCCCTGCACCCACATGGGAGACCAGGAGAAGCACCTGGCTCCTGCCATCGGATCAGCGCGATGCACAGGCCGCTGCACGCCATCCACAGTGGCTATTGGAGGGTGAACCAATGGTAAAAGGAAGACCTTTCTCTCTGTCTCCTTCTCTCACTGTCCACTCTGCCTGTAGAAAAAAAAAAAAAGAATTTGTTAATATCTGGTAAAATATTAAACAGTCATAAGCAATCATAGAATGATTCAATTTAAATTTTGGAATAATTTAAACCTATAAAAAAGTTAAAAACAGCATCCATTCATATTGCTATCTTACATAGTCGTGTGGCACTTATCAGAGCCATAAAACTAACAATGATATAGTGCTATAAACTAATGATTGATTTTATTAAATTTTCTTTGATATCTCACTATTTTTTCCTGGAAAGCATCTAATCAATAATTCCATTACTTTTTGCCTTGTTTCCTTAATATTCTTAAATCTGTAATAGTTCTTTGATATTTCATAATTATGACATCTTTGAAGAATACCAACATGTTTTCCTTTTTATTTAATTTTTTATTTTTGACAGGCAGAGTGGACAGTGAGAGAGAGAGACAGAGAGAAAGGTCTTCCTTTTGCCATTGGTTCACCCTCCAGTGGCCGCCGCGGCTGGCGCGCTGCATCGCGCTGATCCAAAGCCAGGAGCCAGGTGCTTTTCCTGGTCTCCCATGCGGGTGCAGGGCCCAAGGACTTGGGCCATCCTCCACTGCCCTCCCTGGCCACAGCAGAGAGCAGGCCTGGAAGAGGGGCAACCGGGACAGAATCCGGTGCCCCAACTGGGACTAGAACCCGGTGTACCAGCGCCGCAAGGCGGAGGATGAGCCTATTGAGCCATGGCACCGGCCCCGACATGTTGTTCTATAGAATGTCCTTCACCCTCATTGAGCTTGTCCCATAATTTCTAATGATTAGATATTGTGTATGCATTTGCAACAGGAATATGGTAGAAAAATGTTGTGCTCTTCTCAGTATATACCAGAAGATACATATTATTCACTTCTCTCACTTGCTAATTTTCCCCATAGTAGAGCTATTTTTTTCATTTGTAATTAATGAATATCTCTTGAGGAGATACTATAATAGTGTTGATATTCTCATCTTTTTCAGAGTTTCATTCACAAATTTTAGTAGCGATCAATGATCCTTGTCTTTTACTATTATTACTGTGATGTTTGCCAAATGATGACTTTCTATTTTCATCTTTCCTTGAGAATATATTTTAATCAAACATGTTTACAACATGAATAGCCACATCATCTGCTGGTTTACTCCTCAAATGATGGTAACAGCCAGGTCTAGGCTAGGCTGAAGATAGGAGCTAGGAGCTCCATCTTGGTCTCTGACATGGGCAGTAGAAGCTCAAGTATTTGGTCATCTGCTGCTGCTTTCTCAGGTGCATTATCAGGGAGTTGGATCCGAAGTGGAACAGTCAGGATTCAAAATGATGCTCCAATAGGGGATGCTGGCATAGCAAGCGATGGTTTAACTCACTGTGCCACAATGCCAGCCCCATGCCCCACCTCTTCATACTGTTAATAATGGCAATTAAATTTCAGTATGCGCTTTGGAGTGAATATTCAAACCACAGTAGATCTCTTCCATCCTCTAAGAAAGTTCTGAGTCTGTTCAAAGATATTCTCTATCACCAGTCCAAGCTAGACGCTGTTCTCATTGTTTCAGAAATAAAATTATAGAACTTCACAAAAAGGAACATGAAGTATGTTGTATCGTGTGCAGGTCCTTTTGCTTAGAATAATGTCTGTGCTATTATTCATGGATGGATGTATCAGTATTTCATTCTCTTTTATAATACAATCTTTGAATTGATTCACACAGATGTTGTTTTAAAACAAGAATACTAAGGCACTTTTCTGCAATACAAAAGTCAAATGATTGTCTAAACAAGATATGAATTCCATATAGGGAATATATGCATATCCAAATAGTTTTGATTATTCTAGCAACAGAGCACAAAACTAAAACATTTCTAAATAATATTTGCTCCTATAACCCAAGACAGAATATCTTGTGATCATTCTTTTAACAAAAACAAGTCTTTGAATCCAATGGGCATATTTACTACTCTGAGCCTTATTTTCTTCTCCATAAAAAGGAGAATTATCCTAATATGAATCTCATAAGGTTGTTCATAAGGAATTAAAAAATCTTAAAGAGGAACTCTGAGGGTTGGCCCAACCATCTGTAGTCTAACAAGCTCTCCAGGTGCTCTGATGCAAGTGAAGTCTGACAATGACTTTGAGAAGCTCTGTTACTCTTTAACTACCATGTTTGAGTTGGACTACTGGGGCTAACTCTGTGATCTAAATTTTGTGATCTCCTGTATCCTTCATGCAGCATGTTGTGTTCATGCCTTTCATATTTGTTGTGTCTGTGTCAAGCAGGATTATGACATATGTTCTAGACTTTTAGCCCAACTGTTGAATTCAATAGGCTATCAATACATACTTGTTGACTGAATAACTTGTTCCCTTAACGTGACTGTCTATCTGGGATGATTTTGATCTAGACTATCCTAATTTTAATCTGTTTAAAACTACTCTTTAAAAAGTGGGTAAGCATTTATTCCTCACAATTTTGTTTACAATGTGTGTAGATTTTTGCCTTAAATGTTTAACTCTCTCATATCTATTCTACCACTCAAAAGAACAGAAATTCTATTGATTCAGAAAGTTTTGAAATTCAATTTAAATAGTAGTTAATCAGAGGTCTAATCGATTAATTCTCTTGATAATATATCAGATGTTTCAAAGATAAGTTCAATATTTCAGGGCCAACATTATGGTATAGTGTATAGTGGGTAAGGCCACTACCTGTGATGCCAGCATCCTTTATTGGCTCCCTGATTGTAACTTGGCTGCTCCACTTTTGATCCAGCTCTCTGTAAATGGCCTGGGGATAGTGGCAGAAGCCTACAAAGGAAACCTGAATGAAGTTCCTGGCTCCAGGTTCAGCCCTGGTCTTTGAGAACACTTGGGGAGTAAACAAGCAGATGGGAGAACCATCAACCCCACCCGCTCTGTAACTCTGACTTTAAATAAATATATACTTTTTAAGTTCACGATCAAGATTTAGCTACAACTATATAAGGGAGGGTGGAAATATACACCATTTTTCTCTACTAAATTCTCAGGCTGGGGCTCAGCATATTTGGCAAACAGATTAACAAGAGAAAAGCAATTTATTAACTCATGTAACCTGCATAAATGGGGAAGGGATTCAGTGAGGGGTAACTCAAAGAGGCTGTGGGGACGTGGGGCATATATACCAGCTTAATAGATAAAAATACATTTGTAAAGAAGAAACACTACAAAGGA